TTTTTGAATTGTTTCAAACAAAAAATGTTTTTTTAAGAAATATAATATTAAATAATTGTTTTAATATGTAAGAACACTTTAAAATAGTGATAGAAAGATGATTTGATTGAAAAATTTAGCAAATTTTGCTTTAAAACGTTTTCTGCTACAAGAAAGTGTAAAATGACGATGTTTGTGAAATGGTTTGTACAGTGCTTCTTCCTTGTGAGTGTTTCTCAGAGTTTTGTTTATGTTATGTCGGTTCTTTTTAATTTGTAATAAATAATGAGTGCTGAAAATAAATCGGTAAGTTGAAATGTTTATCAAATAAATTTAAATTCAACTAATTGTTTCGAATAACTGAAAGAAACATGTAAACATGTACACTGTACAAACCATTTCACAAACATCGTCATTTTATACTTTCTTGTAGCAGAAAACGTTTTAAAGCAAAATTTGCTAAATTTTTTAATCAAATCATCTTTCTATCACTATTTTAAAGTGTTCTTACATATTAAAACAATTATTTAATATTATATTTCTTAAAAAAACCTTTTTTGTATAAAACAATTCAAAAATACCCGCCGTGAAAATGACTTTTCACGCATTTTCACGGTCCAGAAATAATGTTCATCTGATCGAAATTTGAGGTATATAAGCACCTTAAGGCTCCATTCACAATTGATTTGTCCAAAAGTTTCCAAACAATTTGGCGGTAAAATTCAAATGGTTTTTTTTAACTACTGCTGACACTACTCAACCCTGTTCGATATAATTATCCAACCTTGTCAAAAGTGATTAGCATTGCACTTGCACGTGAAAAATTTCTATATTTTACAATATTTAGCTTGATTGATTTTAATAAAATAATTAGATCACAATGGCTGAATTTGTGGAAAAAAGATGCGAGGAGATGATTCTTGAACTCGAACAGATGGAGAGAATTAAATTATTCGATAAAAATGAAGTCAGGTATGTATAGGTTATGTTTTTTTATTTACCAGAGTGACTTGAATTTTGTTAATAATTAAATTGTTATTTTATTATTAATTTGAAAAATAAACTTAATCTTTTAATATAATATCTTCCCTTTTAATATAATGTTTATTATATTAGTTTATTTAAAATTTTCAGAGGTATAGCTAAAAAACGAAAAGAGCATGAGTATAAAATTGAGAGACACACAAAATGTAAAGAAGATTATTTAAGATACATACAATATGAAATGGATCTTTTAAAACTTGTCAAACAACGGAGAGAAGTAAATATATTTTATCAAGAATAATTCTTATAATTACATTTAAGGCCACGTGTTTATCGCGTCCATTATATTCGACTTTTTTTTTTTTCTTTTCTCTCTTAATACATAATTTTACACTAATGAGTGCTTTTTTTTTAGAAACTTGGTATCACTCAAAAAAAGTCAAGTATTGATTATTCTATTGCGAACAGAGTGAATCGATTGTATAAACAGGCTATATATCGTTTTCAAGATGATGTACGATTTTGGATTGCCTATATGAAATTTTGTAAAAATGTTGTAAGTAATATTGTGTTGTTTATTGTACAAGACATTTTAAAATGATTTACAAAATATTTTTTTTCTTATAGGGATTTCAAAGTTGCGTTGGTCGTATGCTCGGAAAAATGTTGCTAATTCATCAGGATAAACCAAAATGTTGGCACATTGCCTCACAATGGGAAATAGAAGAAAGTAAAGATTTGCAAAATGCAAGACAACTATTATTACGTGGTTTACATTTTCATCCAAATTCCACATTACTTTTCATGGACATGTATAAGTAAGTTTCATTTTATGAAAATAGAATTTATTCATATGTAGGCATAATTTATTTATTTTATTTGTGAATGTAGATTAGAGTTAAAAGAAGCTCTTATAAAACGCAATGAAAGTGAGAAAAAAGAAGAATCAACAGAAGAAGACAGCGAAACTCCAAAAGAATGGAAACGAGTTCAAGTCATTTATGAGCAAGCTTTTAAAAGAATTAAGGATATTAAATTTATCATTGAATTGTTAAATCTAACAAAGGAATTTGAGAATACAGAATTCTTACAAAATAGAATTGTCAGGTAAGTTATTTCTTTTTTTTCAGTTTTTTTCAGTTTCATTAAAAAAAAATATATTTTTTCAGTGACATGGTAAAAGAATATTCTAACGAGCCCCTATTGTGGGATACAATGGCAAGACGTGAATTATTAGAAACAGCGAGTGTTAATAATATGGCTATGGAAGTTGATTCAACAGAAGCACCATCACTAAGAGATCGTATATTGTCTTGCAATGAAATATTTCAAGTAGCTGTTAAAAAACTTCGAAATGAAGAAATCTGGTCACTTTACATTGATTTTCTTTTAGAGATTAATCAAGAAAATGAATCTTTACCTAATCTTAAAAGAAAATTATTAAAAACAGCTTTATCGCAAGGTCATCAGGCAAAAAATTTAAAAGAACGTCATTACTTATATTGGGTAAGAAATGTAATTAATTATTAGTTAATATTAATTTTAATTAAAATGTGAATTATTTTTTTTTTATTATAGATTAAGATGCTAAGTACTGATAAAAAGGATGACAACACTCAATCAAAATTAGTCCAAGTTTTAGGTTGGGCAACTGAAAGTTTTCCAAACAATGAAAAACTTTGGCATTTAAGATTAAATTATCATCTTACAACAAATGATGACGAATTGTCAAATGGATTATTTAAGCAAGCGACAGAGCAACTGGGAGAAAAATCATTTCCCCTGTGGAAAACAAAATTATTACATGTACAGGCTAAAAATCCAGATAAAGTTCAAGAATTTTTTCAAGCTGCTCTTTTTGGTCCTCTAAATGTAGCAAAAGAAATGAAGCCATTGTACTTGGAATGGGCAGTGTTAACAAAAAGTAAGAATATAAGAGCAAAAAGGATTTTATTTTTTTTTTTAAATAAAAATATTTTGCAATAATTTAAAATTCCTTTTTTTTTAGATATTTCAGAAACTCGAAAGATTTATAACTCAATTACTCAGCAACCACCATTCTCTTATGAATTGCATAAAAAAATGATAGAAATTGAAATTATGCAGCCAAAAATATCAGTACAAAATACACGAACTGCTTTTGAATTAGCAATTATGCAATTTGGTAAACACAAACCTGATTTATGGATAGATTATACAATGTTTGAAATGAAACATGGTGATCCATTGAAAACAGGAGAGGTACATACAAGAGCAGTTAAAACATTATATCCAAAATTGACTGACAAATTTATATTTGAGTATACGTTACTCAAAGCAAATCCAGATTTTATAAGCATGTCTTCTCGTAATTAAGGTTTGAATATTAGTGATATTAATTTATATATATGTGTACAGTATGAATAAAAATTTGTCTTAATTTTCTAGAGGAATCTCTTTGTTCATGTGTGTTAAGACAATATTTCGATCCGTTTCATTAGTAAGTCGTGCTCGATCGCCAACTTTTAAAGTTGAACGATTATCCAAACACATTATATCAGTCATCAATGAATGTTGTTTATCTTCTAAATTTTTGTTAATTCGATTCAACAGTGATTCTAAATTGTTGTATGTGGCTCTATAAATTCAAAAACAATTTTTTTTTTCCCCCATAAATAATTATAAGTAAAAATACAAAAGAAAATGAATACTAACTTGGCATTGTTTATTTCGTTAATTAAATTTTGTTTAGTTTGCCGTAATTGTAATACTTCTTGCTTTAATCCATCTTGACTTTGATCACGACACAATTCAAAACCAGGACGACATGTTCGATTTTCCAATCTTGTCTCAACGCATTTAATAGAATCTATTTTTGCAAAAATCGCCTCATCTAAAAGTGTTATCTCTTTTTGTAATTTTTCCATTTCTCTTTGCATCTATTAAAAATTATTTTTTTAAATTAATGAATAATAAAAAAAAAATTATTATAATTAAAAAACAATTTTACTTTCAATTTCTGCCAATCGAGTTCATTTCTTGCTTTTTGTGTTTGATAAATTCTTTTTCTCAATGTGAAATCTGTAAAATCTTGTTGAGCTCTAATATCATTTCTTGTTTTATCTCTTGCATCTTGAATAGATTCTCTAAAATTGTACATATCTTCTAATTCATTGTCAGCTGAAAGTTTTACATGCTGACAATGCTGCAACCATGTTTCATAAGATACCATACTGTAAAAGAATTGCAATTATTTTCTATTTTTTGTTATTTTTATAGAAGAAAAACAAATTCACATACTCTTTTGGCATTCTCAATGCATTTGGTTTGTAACTGATATTGGCACAAGTACGATTTAATGTAAAATTTGTTCGATCAATTTCAAGTGCTTCGTGTTTGTCTTGTAATTCTAAATTGAGATTGAATTTAACTTTTTCCAGACGATTCAATCTTTCCCAAGCGGCTTGTATTCTGAAATTAAAAAATTAATTAGAAGGTATTTGTAAAATTTTCTTTTTTTTTTTTTTAATAATTAATACTTGTTTGTTAGTGTTTTCTTTGCTGCTTCTAAAATGCAGAGTTCTTTTTTCAATTCTGTGTCGCCATCGTCATAAGTCAATTCAGTGCCTCTTCGACAATCTCGCATTGATATGCATTGAGAAGTAATTTGCAATGGTATATTAATAAATTCATGTTCCTTCTCGGCATCAGATTTTCCATCTTTTAAAAGACAAATTTCCGTTTCTATGTGTTCGAGTAATTTTTGAAATATATTCTCCCAGCGAGATAGTTCAGTTACTCTGAAATTTTTAGTTTTCTATTTAGACTAAGAAAACATTTTTTTTTTATTCTATTTATTTATTTATTATTTATTTTTATTATTATTTATTTTTTTTTTTTATTATTTTTAATTTACTTTATTATTTTTTTTTTATTATTAATGTATATATTAATTAATTTAATAATTAACCTGTCGTTGAGTCGAATTGTATTTAATTGAGTGTCCCATTCTGTTTTTATTTGAGTTTCCGATCTTATTGTTCTACCTGAATTTCTTAAATTAAATGCATCTGCTCTTTTACTTTCAGCACTTTTTTGAAGTTCCCATTGCTTGGTATACCAATCAGGTAATCCTAATGAAAGAAATTTCAAATTAATATAAAATTTTAAATATTAATTATTATTATTATTATTATTATTTTAATTATTTTATTTTACCAATATGAGGTGTTGGTTTTTCATATGTAGTAATGGATTTTGCCATATTTATTAATTTAACAATATTTAATTTTCAGTTAACTATAATTTTGTACTAAAAAATTTCAATAGTACAATATTTATTATGTAATAAAGAATTATAAAATAGAAAAGGCAGTTGCTGAGGTAACAAATGTAAACAAACGAGTAAAATCGATCGATACTTTAAAAAACCGTTACTATATTTGCGAATTAATAATGCGCGAAATTTTAACCTTTTTCAATAAATCATTAAATAGATAATTAATAAAAATAGACTAAAAAGTCATCATTTTTATTATATAATTTTATTAAATATTATATTTCAAACATAAAGTTTGTAAATAATTTTTAAAAAAAATTACGTTAAACATTTAGACAAATTTCATTGGTTCACATTTAGCTTAATCAAATAAACGCGCCAAAATAAACAAATCACGTGCATAGTAACAAGTTTAAGTTGGTAGTTAATGTGCCAATGTTGGTAAAAATGATTTGATGATCGTTCATTTTCGTAATGTTTCGTCTATTGTCGGAATCTCCGACTCAAATATTCGCCAACATTGGCGGGTCTGCGATAATGTGTTAGTGTATATCGTTTAACAGGAAAACTAGGAGGTAGGTGTAAAGATTGTGTATACGCGGCAAAACAAATTATTTCTTATCAAAAATTAATTTCAATAAAAAATTTAATATTTGTAATATTTTAAAAAAAAAATTTTTTACACACTGTGAGTTTAATTTTAATTTTTCATGTTTACTATTTTTTTCTTATAGAAAATACATTCGTGGTGTATATGTATATATATATATATATACAATATTCAACTTATATGAACCTAAAAAAAAACATTTGAAGGAAGGAAATATTAATTTCTTGTAAAAAAAATAAAAAGTAAAGAAAATTACGTTTGTTAATAACAATTCAAAGAACAGCTCTTTGTAGCGCATTTTTTATTAAAGTGAAAAGCACATGCGAAAATTAAGTATGAAAGGAAAAAGGAGGAAGTCTGAAACAAGCGACGGAGAGTCGGAAGAAAATGGCGTCGCGTCGGGCGTCTCGGGCGTCACGCGGACTTCTGATAACGAAATGGATGAAACTGATAGTGAAAAATCAGAAACAACATCACGCAAGTCAAAATCTAATAATAAGAGACGCTCATCGCGTTCTCGGGGAAAACAAAATGAATCTGTTGATGAATCCGCTGATAATGAGAGTCAAGAGAAGCCGGCCGGAAGCGAACAGGAAAATGGAACCGCCAATAGTAAAGGAGGTTCTTCAAAACGTCGCAAGAAAGATGAAAAACCTGTTGAAAAAGAAAAACCTGCAACCGATGATGAAAACAATGAGGACGACGAATATGAAGTAAGATTTAATGAATTTATTTTATATTTTAACGTTATTTTTTTTCTATGCTTGCATTTTATTTTCTGTATTTATGTTGACTGTTTACATTATCTGTAACTAGAGTATTTTTTATTTTTGTTTATCTAGGTGGAAAAAGTAGTTGCGCAACGTACCATTAAAGGTCGTCGTCAATTTTTGGTCAGGTGGAAAGGCTATGGAGAAGATTCTGATACCTGGGAGCAAGAAAAAGACTTGAATTGTCCACAATTAATTGAAGAATTTTTAGCTGAAGCTGGTGATGACGATAAAGAGGAAAAGCCAGCTGAGAAGACACCTAAATCAGGAAAAAGTAAACAAGGAAAGAAGTCTTCCAAGAAAGTTAAAAAAGATGAAGGTAATAAAAAAAAAATTTTTTATTTTAAAAAATAGAATTTTTACAAAAGAGTTATGATTTTTTATTTTTATTTTTAAGAAACGAAAGGCACAGAAGAGGAAGGTGATGACAATGACAATGAAGATAAAGAATTTGAAGTGGAAAAAATTATTGAAGTTCATTTCAAGAAAAATAAATCGAGAGAATTTCTTATTCGTTGGAAGGGTTTCTCGTCGTCTGACGACACATGGGAGCCAGAGGAAAATTTAAATTGTCCCGAACTTATTGAAAAGTTTATGGAAAAAGTTGAAAAAGCAAAAAAAACAGAAGCGAGAGAACTCAGAACGAATCCAACGCTTACAAAACATTTTACACTTGGAGCACATGGTAGACGTCATTCTCGTCGTCATGGTGACAAACAGAGGTAACTAAAATTATTATAAAATCATTATTTTATTTTCTCAAGATTTATTTTATCTAAAAAAACTGTTAACTTCTTTTTTTGCAGAGTAACATACCGAGGATGTGATGAATGAAAGAAATATCTACATGGATAAACATATGCAAAATTTAAAACCGATGATTCACACTAGTGATAACATGTGAATTGAAAATAAGATACATCTTCCCATGTTTCCTAGTAATCGTATTCTTTATTTTGGAACGTAATTTTCTCTTTTTACAAAATTGTGAAATTAAGTCACTTTTTAGTATTTTGATTATTTTTTTTTTTTTTATATATATTGTGTTAAATTTCTTTACAAATTTTCAAATTAGTTCATAGTATGTTTGATTATTGGAACATATAAGCTTTTTCATTAAAAATATTTACTGCTCTAAAAAAAAAAAAAAAAAAAAATTTAAGTTTATATGAAAAAAAAAAATTTTAACTACACTACATTGAGTTTTCCTAGCAGTAATGAAAAGGTCTATATGAGAAAGTTTATAAATAAATAAATATATATATATACATACATACATATATATTTAAACCGTTGCCGTCGTCTAGTAATTAATCTAATCTACGGTTGTCAACGTACTGTGCAAGTAATCTACATAATTAGATTAAACTTTGTTTAAGTATTGATTGTCAAAAATCAATAAAAATGTATGATTTCAAAATTATAATAATTTAATACAACTTAAAATGATTTCTCCAAAAAAAAAAAGAATAGTTTACAAAATATTATTGAACAACAAAAAAAATATGTGTACAGTGTATTTTTTTAAAGCAAATTCAGTCCTTTTGCATTTTAGTTTTTAATCTAAAAAAAAAACTTTTCTATGAATTAAACACTAAGAAAAGAATTTTTTCTTCAAATTAATTAATTAATCCTTAATATAAGTTATATTTTACTTATTTTTAAATTTTAAAACTAGGAAAATTACGTAAAATACTGTATAAAGGCGGGAAATAAAAATTTGATCTATTACACCTACCCAACCCTAGTGATGAATTTATAGAAAGCAGAAGACAAAACAATAGGTTAATTTTAACTGCGTGTTTTTTTTATATATAAAAAACGTTTTTTGATTAAAAAGTTTTGACTGAAAACATATATCATTTGAAATTATTGATACTATGGATTCAAATAAGAGAAAAACAAACTGGTACAGTAATAATTATAAAAAACGAAAACAATTTTCATTTGAACCCGGTATGAAGGGATTCTTGTGCACGTGCAATTTTCGAGAAAAAGACTGCATTCGTGATGTTTATAAATTGTTAAATGAATATTCTGATAAGCTTAATGGCATAGAAAAATGTCAGGTATAAAATTATAAATATTTATATATATGTTTTATTAATTTTTTTTGAGGTTATATTTCTTTTTAAATGAAATCAAATAATTTTTCAAACATGTGCCTTTATTTACAGAATGATAATGAAACAAATTCTCAAGAAGATGATGATATTTCAACTGCTTTAAGTAAAGAAATTGATGAACTTCAAGCTGATGCAAAAAAAGGATCGAAAAAAAAATTTCAAGTAACGATTTTCCATTTAATTGAATTGTAAATTAAAATGAAATATCTTAAATATGTTTGTTTATTTTTTTTTAGGTAATAGAAACTGGAGTAAAAAATGTTCTTTTTATTCAAACAACAGTTTCTGATCCATTAACATTGGCAATGAGTATTATAAAAGATGTATATGAGACTAAACAGCAACGTTCCAGATTTTTATTAAGATTAGTACCCGTAGAAATTGTAACTAAAGCATTTATGGATGATTTAAGATCTAAAGCTGATGCAGTTTTGGAAAAATACTTTTCACAAGAACCAAAGACTTTTAGTATTGTATTTAAGTAAGTAAGATTTTTTATTTATCAAATAATTTTTATTTTTCTAATTTATCTAATATCTTTATTTTAAAGTCGACACAGTAATAGTAATATCCAAAGAAGTGAAGTTATTGAGGATTTGGCTGCTATAATTACAAAAAAGAATCCAGGAAACAAAGCTGATTTAAAGAATCCTGAAATAGCTGTGATTGTTGAAGCAATACGTGGTTTTTGTCTTATTTCTGTAGCTCCTAATTATATGTCATACAAGAAATATAATTTATTAGAAATGTGCAATCCAACACAACAAAAAAGTAACGAAAAGGTATGTATTTGCTTTTAATAATTAATTCTTTTTATTAATCATCTACTTTTCTATTAATGTATGACTTATTTTAGAATTCTGAAAATTCTACCGAAGCAATTGATGTTAAAAATGATACTGCAATTGTTGATATAGAATCTGGTGTTGATGCAAAAAATGATGCAGTTGATTTAAAAAATGACAGCGAGATTGATTCAAAAATTGATGATGCGGTTGATGAAAAAATAAATGATACAAAAATGGATGATAAAATTGAAGCAAAAATGGGTGATGCAGAAAATGCAAAAGTGGATATAATTCCTGAAAAAATGGATCAATAAAAAAAAAAGGAAAAGTGTCTAAAAATTTGTTTATTTGATTAACTTTTCTGTATTTTGTTTTTTTTTTTACTACAAAAAACTAATTTTCTTTTCTATTAATAATCGTTTATAATTTCTATATATTAAAATACAGTTGTATTAAAATACAACAGAAATATTTCTATAATACAAGTTGTAAAATAGAATATGCAATTTATATGTTAAAAAAAATTGTACCAATTTCATAATTTTTTTTTCATCATTCTGATAAGTTTTGCTTTATAAAATAAATGTTCTATTTTTCTACTTCCTTTCTGTTTTTATTTATATATTTAAAACAATTCTTTTTATATATTAAAACAAGTATTATTGTATATTTACAAAAGAGAAACTACGTATAACACTGTAAGTATTGACGTAAACTAGGGTAAATTGTCTTTACATCATTTCAGTTTCATCACCCTGTTGATGTGTTGTAATTGCGGCTGCTTATTGATATATTAATAATTGGTGATGCTTTAAGAATTTCGATAGAAAGAATTTATTATAAAGGTAAATTTTTTTGTTTTTAGTGAAATAGATTTCTTATTTAAAACATAAAGTTATAAATTGAAATTGTAAGTATAAGCAAATAATAATAATGCCTAAATTTTTAAAATATAACCTAAAAATTTTATATCGAGATAAATTACTCTTTATATTTTTTTCTCTATAATAAATTTACTTAATTGTCTATTTTATAAATGTTAACAAATTCTTCAATAAAATTCAAAATGTTTTATTAGAAAAAAGATTGAATTTTTGAAATTATAAACAGAAAATATTTGTACTTTAAAGTACTTTTAATATTTTCTATTTTGGTACTTAATTTCTAATTCTCTCTTGTACTGTCAATATTAATGTTATTTATAACTATTTTATTTTTTGAAAATCAGTTTTGCAACATAGTTCTTATGTTTGTAATGATTGAAAAATTAGAAAGTTGAAAATTTTCAACTATTACGATTTTAAGTAAAATTGATAACTTAATGTAATAATTAGTAAAATTCATTAATATACATACATTTTAACTAGATTTACGGACACGGTAAATTATGGCTAATAGACTTTTAAAGGATCCAGCAACAGCCAGTAGTAGAATTTTTGTAGGACATTTGCAGACAGAAACTCTAAACAGAGCTGAATTTGAAGAACATTTTGCAAAGTATGGTTCAGTTGTGGGATCAGTAATAAATCGTGGTTTCGCTTTTGTACAATTTGATGACGAGCCAGCTGCACGAGCTGCTATACAGAGTGAAAACGGTGCAATGTTTAAAGGAAGACGAATGGGTATGTAATAAATATATATTGGAATAAAAAGTTAAAAATTATTGTACCTAACCTAAAATATGTGTTTTTAGATGTAAAACCTGCGAAGCAGGATGGTCCAGGAGGTGGTATGGGTGGTGGCGGAGGAGGTATGGGAGGAAATGTTGGCGGCGGTATGGGAGGAGGGATGGGCGACGGAATGAATAGACAAGGTGGACCAAAACCATTTGGTTTTGGAAACGATTCATTTAAAGGTGGAAATCAAAATTTTCGGGGAAATAATCAGAATTTTGGCGGTGGAAATTCAAATATGGGAAATGATAATTCATTTCAAAATACATCAATGCGAGGAAGTGATGAATCATTAAATCGAGGGGATCAATTTAATGACAACAATATGGGAGGTCGAGATAATAATGATCAATTTAATAATGACAGACAGGGTAATCAGAATAGAGGCGGTAATGATTCATTTGGAGGTGGAAATCAAAATAGAGGTGGCAATCAGTTTGGTGGAGGTGGACCTAATCGACCTGGTGGTATGTTAAATCAAGGTATGGGAGGTGGTGGAGGAGGAGGTGGCGGCGGCGGTAGAAAACGTGGTTCTAGAGGTGGCAAAAATCGAAAAAATATGGATAATTCTGGAGGACCTGGTGGTCCTGGTAATCAGGGAGGTCCGGGTGGTCCTGGTTTTAGAGATCGCAGTCCAATAAATAGAAATAATCGTATGGACGACATGGGTGGACGTGACTGGGATATGGGTAAACCAAATATGGGAGGAAGAGGAGGTCCTGGTTTCGGTCGGGATTCTTTCAATGATGGAAATCGTTACGATGATTATAAACCTCAATTTGGGTAAAGATTTTTTATTTATTTTAATTTAATTATAAAATTATAATTATTTTGATTTTTACAGGCCATCTGTACCACCTTCTGATTATCCTCCGGCACAAATGGAAAAGAATGACTGTGAGATTATTGTTGTTAACAAATCCTTGACGTTAGTATAATTACAAATTGTTAAATCAAAAAATATTCACTAAAAATTTGTTTTAAAAATTGTTTTCCTTTTTTAGGGAATATGCTGAAGTAATTGAATCACGTCTTAAAAAAATAGGACTGACGGTAGATTTGTTATTTCCAAATGAAGAAGTTCCTCTAAGTCGAGTACTTGGAAATATTGCAAGTAGAGGTTGTTTATACGCAGTGGTGATCATGCCTGTTAATCAAGAACATCGTTCTTTAACATTAAATATTTTACACGGCTTACCACAAGGTAACTATTTCAATTTGAAAGCCGCGATTGACAATTAAAAAACAAAAATAATAAAACTAATAATAATAATTGATTTCAGAACACAGAAATATGCCCGTGGAAGATGCGATAAATTTAATTGCACGTGATTTTGCTAATTGTAAAGCTGGTAATCGTTCGGTTCCATTAAATATTCCTAGCAATAATGATCGTCATCCTGATGCTGTTCAAGTGCTATTGAATATGTTAGCTGACAATTTGCAATTAACGGTTCTTCAATACGATAGGATAATAAAATATTTGGAAATAAAAAGAGAAGAGCAAGTACAAATTGAAATTGGAGATTCAAAAGATTTACATAATACAAGTACACTATCAGTCAGTGATCCAAAACAAGCTGAACTACAGTCAAGAATTCTTAACATTCTCAATAGTAATAAGACAAATACAACTGGACCAGCGCCGAGTCCAGTTCCAGCTCCTACACCAGCTCCAGTACCTTCAACCACTTGGGGATCGGGTAACAAATTCATGTTTTTAAAAATACTTTTAAAATTATATTTCAAGTTTTATGACGCCTTTTAATGACGTGACAAATTTTTTTAATAGTATTCATGATACATAACGCGAATTTTAGGTTTTTTTTTTCAAATTTAACACCGTGGATTTTTTAATCGTTGAATTTATCAACGACTCGATATTTTTTTTCAATATTCACGAATTTTCGTGCAATTTTAATAATTTAAATATTCTCGTGTCGCGTTTTTACTGCTTTATAAAACTGCATATTCTCAATATTGCAGGATAAAGCGATTATTTTACTAAAAAGGATTTACATCCGTTTCGCAAAATAAATCTGCCTGGGATTTGCATTTTACGTTAATGATATTGTTTCTTCTTTCAAGTATCTATATAGGCTTTTTTTTATTATCGCAATTTATTCAGTGCAAAATGGTTTATTTGCGCCTTTTTTTAAAAAACAAACCAAGCAGATTTCGTGCGCAATTTAAAAAATTTCCGCGTTTTCATTTTGGTACTCAAAAAAAAAGTATCAGTATTTACTCGTGTTGTGAAAACAGAGACGAATCTCTAGGAACTAAGCAAGTTATAAAGGTAACGAAAAACTTTTATTGATTCAATTTTTTAGTCATTCTAATTTAATTTAAAGTACTGTATGTTTGCAATCACAAATATTTTTTTTTTTTAATTATTACATTCACTTGATAAAATAATCTTTTGTAAATATAAAATTTTTATAATCTACTAATATGAATAACTTGCTTACTTGTTGGTAAATTTCAATTTAATATTTCATTAAAAAAAAAATTGGTGTCGAAAAAGTGATATAAGTGTGATAAAAATGCTGTTTTTTGTGCTCACAACTGAAAACTTGATGAAAGCAATATTATGCCCAGCAGCTTCAACAACCGCCGTTTCATCGACGACAACAACTACAACATCAGGGGTCACTCCATCGCCACTTCTCAATGATCCAACTGTACAAAAGGCTCTAGACAGTCTTTTACAAGGAAATTTATTGAAAAGCATTGGAGAACCACAATCACCTGCAACAACATCTGCACCACTATTTGCCGCATTTCCCAACATTGGTCGTTTTTAACCAATTTATATTTTGATACTGATGAGTTTTTTTTTAAATTTATCTAATCACCATGCAAAATTGCTTTTCTTTTTAAAGTGTAGACAAATTGATGCAGTAAATATATTGTAGTAAACACGTTTTTATAACGGATAGAAAGAAAAAAAGTTTTACATGCATAATTTCATACGACAAAAAATTATTTACACTCATAAGTGAATTATTATCACTGAAATATTTAATTAGACTACTTTTGAAATAACTTGAATATAAAATAAATTTAGTGAGTAGGTATCGTTTACACTTTAAAGACAAATGCATTGTCACATAATTATACTCCCTTTTTATTATTCATTAAATATTTGCGGGAAATATTACATTTTAAGTATTTAGTTTTATTTTTCAACGTAATCTAAAAAACTTAATGAAAAATACGTAAACAATTATTCCATTTTGAAAAGTTCTTCTCGCAAAAATACATATTTTTCGCTAAGTAATTAATAGATTACTTATACATTTGTATGAAGAAAAATAATATTTAATGTTTTATTTCCACTACAGAATGTCTTATTTAGTTGTGTGCACATTTAATTCATTTATATAAAATTTCAATTAAAGTGAGTACTTTTTCAGAATTAAATTAAATATTACTTATTTTTTGTAAAGAAATCAATTTCTTTAAGATTTGCATGAATTAAGAACATAATTTGTATATGAAATTAATTTGTTTCGAATTGAAAACAATTAAATAAATAAGGAGTGCAGGTGTAAAAAAAAAATTATTATTTTTTTTTCATTCAATTTGGAATAGACTTGAAATTTATTATTTAAATATTTTCTTTAAAGACATAAATTGTATTGTGTTGATACGCATAAAAACAATATGTATGTCCTTAATAAATGTCGTACTCATAAACCAGTTATTTATATATATATCTATATACTTACTCTTTATGTATTTTTATGGTTAAAATGGTATTTCACAGTGATCAGGATCTAGAAAATAAAATAAAAATTTCTTAATTTATATCTACGCGTGAATGTCAAATTACCAGCTTTTTTTGTATATCTGTTGATAATTATTGCGTTCTTATTTTAATTTTTAATCACAATTAATAATATTAATCACTTACTAAAAATTGCATATAATATAACTCTCAGACAAACAAGAAAATAGAAGTGCAAGCTAAAATGAGAGGGATTAAAAAACCGCATGTAGACGTCAATATTTTTTTTTTTTTTTTTTTTTTTCATAGCAGATGTGCATTTAACGAGTTTTGTAAGACCAGCAGCTGTATTTATTGAGATAACCTGATAGAATTGACAAATTTTTTCGATATAATATTTATACATAAGAAAAAAACAATTTTTTTTTTGAAGCGTAGCGATTGTTGATAACATGTATAAAGCTAGAATAGAAGAATGAAAAAAAAAAAGTTGTTTCAATTAGTGAAATATGTTGTGCGAACAGTGAGCAAGCAGCGTTTAAAGAAAAAAAAAAAAAGATTTCAAATATTATAAAATTTACCTAAATAATAGCTTTTTAGATATTGCATTCCATGAACGATTTCTTCACATGGCATTTTTGCTTCTTTGTACAAAATTTTAAGAATACATTTAGCTGCATCAATATCATATTTATTTTTAAGTAATCTCTTTTTAAATGGCAATAATTTTTCCACGAGTTCTTTGTTCTTTGATATTGATCCCACATGATTTTGTAATATTTCACGATAAGTTGGCCAATCTGAAATACAAGCTGGACAATCACAATTGAAAAAATAATCGTCCATCATTTTTTTTCGTCTTTCAATTAGTGCTATGTGTTGATGTCCTCCGCCATAGCTTGTAAAAATTTGATCCCCCGGAGAAATTGTCTCCAATGCACGTGTTATCATTGTTAATCCCTCAAAATGTCTCAATGTATTTGGAGCACATGAATGATTATACAAACTGTGCACAATATAAAGACCTGAACCGACCTTGACTCCTGGCGTTTGTTGTATCTAAATTCAAAATTAAATTTATTTATTTAATTTATTATAATAATAATAATAAATAAATAATTTACAGAAATTTTACCGAGAAACTATTGGAAGACATAATAACACTGGCTCTAAACATAATACTTCCACAAAATGTTATATCCGGTAATTTGCTGATTTTTTTTAATTCATCCATTTGGTATTTATTACCAAAAAATTTAGTTTTCGTTGCTAAAAGCATTGTGGCTAATGCTGAGAGACAAGCAAATGCACTAATTCCAATTGGTAGTCTTGCTGACATATTTGTTGCAAGACTTAAAGCCGATTTGGCACTTGTGCTATCAAAAATATCATTTTCTGTAAACCCTGATGTTCTTCTATCTGAAAAAGGTATATTTACATTTTCTTCTTTGTCGTAAAAAAAGAATTTTGAAAGTGAATTTAAATAAATTTTCCAATAATTTGAATTGAATTTAAAATTTGAAATTTATTTTCACACACTCCTTTATTGATTAAACAATTAAATCAAAACCTGTATTAGATTCTGCAATTTTCAAATCCTCACGTAATTTGTCAATTCCTGTGCCATTTGAAGTGGCAATTATAAGAAATCTTACAATTTTTGAAAGCATACGAATTTTATCTCTATCAATATTCAGTAAATTTGACAATAATGTTAAAATATAACATTCAGTGCAATGTGCAAGTTTCCAGTCTAATTGTTTACATTTTTCTGAACAATATTGAGCAATTGGACATTTTGAACATGGAATTAAATTATAACTTCTTGTCAGACAGTGAAAACAATGTGTATAATATCTAAAAAAAAAATTTTTTTTTAAGAAATGTAAATATTAAATTGTTTTTTATATTGAATTTTGAAAAAAAATGTACTTGTCTTGATAAATAACGTAAGCAAATGGATCTTCTACAGAAATGATGTCACCGGGTTCAAAGTATTGTGTTGCCACCATGTGACGTCCATATTTTTCTGAATATCTCACATTAACACCATTGCTGACAACTGGTGTCTCTTCACTTGGACCATGTGTGAGTATAAGATTTTCTTTATTATCATTTATTAAAAATTGTGATTGTGTCTTTGATGTTCCAGGTAATAAAAAATCTTCTCTTATTTCATTATCTTTTGGTTCTTCCAAATCTTGTATAACATTTTGTATTAAGGGGAATTTTTTCTTTATTTTATTATTCGATTCATTATTATTTTCAAATGGATCAAACGATTCAAAATTTCCCGATGAATTCATTAAATTTCCTAATGCCTTTCGGCCACGTTCTTTTAGTTTTTCTCGTTTCTCTTCTGGATAGCCGTGTGATAATGCGGCATCAATGTCAATTAGACAATTTTTATAAAATTTTTTACGATACAAAGCCGCCGAACGATTTGCATGTGCGTAGCCCATTAATTCTTCACTGTCCGCATAAGCGAGACTTTTTGTAAAACTCTCAATTGCTTCTAAATCATTGCCAGCAATGAAATGTTGATTTCCTATTTTAAAAATTTATAAAAAAATAAATCTCATTTTGATTTTAATTTAAAAAATTATAAATCTACCTTCATTTCTGTAATGTAATGAATTTTTTTCGTTTTTAATTTCTGGCTCCACATCCGGTAATGCCGATTTGGACATATTTTGCAAAACATAACTAATCAGTGCTTCACTTTCTTTTTGTAATCCGTAACCCGCTTGTGAATTATTTTGTATTAAATTAAAAATTAGTGTTTTTACTAATTCCATCTCCTTTTTTAAAATGAAAATTAACAATATTCACTAAAAAAGAAAATAATATAAAAAATAGTTTATAAATCTGAAACTTGGAATAAATTGTTTAATTTAAAATTATCGACAATATTTTTTATTTGCGTCTTAATTAAAAAGAATATTGTCACTTACATTTCTATTAATTCGCTACTATTAAAATTCCGCGCTTTGCACAGCTGAAAAGCGTCTAGGGCTAAAATTGAGCTAAATGGGCAAGAGCGGTCAACGTACTAATTGTAAAATGCTACGAGGTGAAACTAAAATTATCCTCAGGAGAAAGGTAGTGGGAAAGCTTATTACGTCAATAAATAGAATTGGCAAAATTCAAATTACCATTGAAGATAAATATTGTATACAATAGATTAAAGTGGAAAAGATTTAATTTATCAAAAATTAAATAAATCCATTTTTTTATTATCAAAAAAAATTTAGAGTAATTTTTATTTTTTCAGTTATGCAAAAAAAGCTTCTTTTTTGATTCGATTTCCTAGAATTAAAAATTAATCGTTATTTCTTTTTCAGTGTGGAACATATTTTTTTTTTTTTTTTTTTTTTAAATAAATATTTTAAGAAAAATTGAATTTTCCAATTTAATCCTTTTTTGGTGAGTATTATGAGAAAAGTATACATTTATTGTAAATAATTTGTTTTTAATTGTAAAGTAATGAAGATTTTGTTTCAATTAAATATACTGTATAAAAGGTTATTATGTGCTCTGTTTTTTATTTACTGTAAATGATATATGCAATCCTTAGTCTTCCTCTGCCTCTAAATTAATGTGACTTCCAAATTTGGCATATAATTGTGCTTTTAATTCAGTCATTTCTTCTTTTAGACTGGCACATTTTGTTTCCAAAGTCGATATCTCAGCTTGCTTTTTCTTTTTAGCTTGCTCTAAAGAGCTCTAAAGAAAATAAGAAAGTAATAATTAAATTTTATGCAAAACAAAAATTTTTCTTTTATTTGCAGTTTTTTTTTTAAAGTTCTTTGTGTAATTGTCATTTTATATTTTAAAATTACCTGAGTTTTTTCAAGTCCTTGAGCTATGAAAACTTCTCCAAATTGAAATGGAATTTTAACATCATCATCTAGAAGGGCAATTTCGTCACAAGCATCTTCTAAATTTTGAAGATCACTCTAATGATAAAACAAAAAAAAAATCACACATTAATATTATATGTACTATTATTATTTAAATTGTAATTGTTAAAGTATACGTAAATTGTTTTTTATTATCATTAATTTCAAGTAAAGTAATTTTGAGGTTAAGAACTCGCATGCGGTAAAAATTAGATAAAAATATTGAAAATACCTGTTTAACTTTTAGTTCCTCTTTAAAGTCTTCCATTTTTGCATTTTGTTTTGCAAATTTATTAATTTTTTGTTGATCCTCAAAGGTAATATGAACATCTGAGTCCTAAATTTAAAATGTTTATGTTAAGTTTCTTTTTTTTTTTAAAACAAAGTTCGAAATTTCAATCTTTAAAAAGTAAACATACCGGTTGAAATCCACCTTGAGCAGTTTTACCACCAGCCATTGTGCATTAATTTTATAAATTGATAATTATTATTCTTACTAATTTTAGATATCAAGTATCGTGTGGGATCACAAAACACTAATTTCTTTCCATTTTTGTCACTTTTTCAGCTGTCTTTTGCGATCACTAATGCGCATGATCAAATAATCATTGCGCCAGTAGTACCAACATTTTCTAATTAAAGAAAATAATTACTTTCTATTTTATTTTTTCTTTATTAAATATGTATTATAAATAATGATCAAATATAAAAAAAAATCATTAGAATTAAATAATTTATTATTAAGCAATAATATATGTTTATTTTTTCAAATTTTTAAATATTCAAATAACGTATAAACAGTTGGTAGTATTTGAAATTGAATTCAACCAATAAGTATCATTTAATTCAAAAATTGTAAATTTGAAAATTAATATTACGCGCGTTATAATAATTTTAATAACATTGAACTGTTTTAATAATTCTTCTTTAATAATATTTTTAATTATTATATTAAATCGTTACACTATTTGTTATTGTTATTATTATTCATTGGATACATAATTTTATAATTAAAATTTTTTTTTTTTAATAAATTTTAAAACACTTCACCGAGAGGTTTAATTGTCAATTCAGTTATTTGAACACGAGGATTTGTTCCCAAAATATAAACAATAGCATCAGCAATATCTTCTGATTGTAATGCAGGTAAATTAAGTATATTATTAGCAAAACTTTTATCTTCAGCGTTGGCTCCAAAAATTTCAGTTTGAACCACACCAGGACTGATGCTCTATGAAAATTAAATAATTAAAATGAAAATTAAATAAATTGTTAATAATTAAATATTAAATAAATAATAAATATTAAATAAATTTTACTCACCGTACATCTTATTTTAGTTCCTAATAATTCTATTTCCATTGTTGTCGTTAATGCAGTGACTGCATGTTTTGTTGCTGGATAAACATTAAAAAATGTATCAGTTGTTCTTAAAACTCTATGCCCAAGAATGCTGTAACAAATAATTCAAAAAAAATTTTTTTTTTTTTCTTAGAAAAATGTTCTTAAAAGTACAATATTTTAATAAAAAAAATTAAAAATATACGTAAACTATTAATTAGGATTAAGAAAATTTTTATAGATAAAAATTTAGAACGAAAAACAAACCTGTTTATATTAATTATATGTCCTTCTGATCCCGATTTTTTCATTAGTTTCACAGCTTCCACTGTGCAATATAATAATCCCATAATATTCACATTAACTATTTTATTCATTACATCCCTATCCGCATCTGTTGATTAAAAATTTTTTTATTTATTTATTACATTAATATATTTTTTAATTATTCAAAAATTATTTTATATAAAAATTAAATTTATAAATAAAAAAAAATTAAATTTAAAAAAAAAAAAAAATTTCAATTTGATAAATACCAAAAATTGTTGCAGGGGTCATAAGTCCAGCATTATTTATAAGCACATCAACTCCTCCCAAAGTGCTACTTATCCATTTGAATGCTTCAGCAATTTTTATTTCACTTGAAATGTCACATTCATAGGCATAAAATTTTCCCTTTCCTTTAAAAGATTTCATGTCATTCTGAAATTAAAAAAAAAAAAAAAAGAAAATATAATTATAATACTAATTTTTTTAGCGTATTCAGAAATTATAGCTAATTAATTATACAGATCGCTTTATATAAATTTCAATTAATTTTTCTATAGCTACTTATTAGCGGTTTTAATGTTTCTAAATTATTTTTCATGATTCTGAAAAAATAATTTACAATCATTGTCGACAGACCTATAAATAACTTAAAAAAAAATCTAATTTTAAAAATTAAATAATTTTTTAAAAAAATTTAATTTTAAAAATTAAATAATTTTTTAAAAAAATTTAATTTTAAAAATTAAATCATTTTTTAAAAAAATTTAATTTTAAAAATTAAATCATTTTTTAAAAAAATTTAATTTTAAAAATTAAATAAATTTTTTTAAATATTTTTTTTTATAATACAAAATGAAAATAATTAATTCTTGTATTATTTTTACCTCCATTTTCGCTTTTCTTCTGGCTAATCCAACGACAATCATTCCTTCTTTCATTAAATATTGTGCTGTTGCCAATCCAATGCCAGATGAAGCACCAGTCACTACGGCCACTTTTCCAATCCATCGATTCATTTTTTTTTTTTTTTTTAAATTTGTTTAAATTAAAAAAACTGTAATTAAAATTTATTTAAACAAATTTTAATAAATATCACAAATAAAAAAAAATTATTTTTATAGATCTGAGACGATGTTTTACTGTTGAGACTATTTTTGCAAATGCACAGTACACGTCTATTTTATACATAGATGACAAAATTAAAAAGCAATGACTTGCAATTAATTGTAATACACAATAATTTTACAGCAAGACAATATAAAATAATAATTGTTTTTTGACAAATGACTAGTAATCTAAAAAAGATTATTGTTTTACAAAATGTATTTGTATATTAAAAATCATTAATTAATTATTTTAAAAAAATTGTGATCATTAGAAAATTTTTTTTTTTTTTAATGAATTTTATTCTTTCTTTTCAGATTGAGAGGAATATTCAAGATGCGCATATTTACAAGGGTTGGGATTTTAAACTTACATTTTCAACTCCCGTTCATACAGTGAAAGTGTTTTATGCGAATTCACGTTCTTCTTCAACTTCTCTAATCTCATTGCATAGAAGATTCTTGCAGTAAGCGTCAGTATCTTTGTATAAATATAAAAACAAAAATTCAAAGTGATTGTCACAAATTATTGAATTTTGAATGAAAATTACTATTGTGATGTTAGAACTGATTTTTTCTACTTTAAGTGTTAATTTTTCATTGGAAAACTCAAAGGTACTTAAAATATTTTATAATACTCGTTTTGCTTTTATTTTTTATATTTGTTTTTTTTTTTTTAATTTGATTAAAAAAATCAAAAATATTTATAGATAACTAAAAAATATGTTTCAAAATAGTCGGTTGACTATTATCAAATAAATATTTATTTGAACCAAATAATTTTTATTTGTATTAATTCCAAATAATTTTTGATTTTGAAATACAATTTCAATTCAAATAATAATTAATACAAATAAATATTTATTTTATTATTTTTTTTTTCATTAGTCAAGTAATCGATTATTTGAATAATAAATTTTTTTATCAGTGTAGTTATTAAAAGTTAAATTTATTTTTGAATGTAATAATTAAAACAGAAGATCTCTTCAATCAATAAAAAATTTTTTTATAAATTATCCGTGAAATTTACTTTTTTTTTCGTTAATTTATTTTATAAGATATATCGTAGAAAAATTGTTTTTTCTAGAGAAAATTTTTTATTTCATGAGGGAAAAAAAAGGAATATTTGGTTTTTCCTTTTTTTTTTTTTTGAAATTTCACATCAATAATTTTGAACTTTACTATAATAGAGAACAATATATAAATACGTAATCAAAAAGAGATAATTAGTGAGAATACACTATATTATTTAACGTAACGGAATGTGATTGTTCTTGTGAAAGGGATACGTATATACCATCTTTTAAGATCGTCAAACTAGATTGTAAAGATCCATTCACTTTGTATATTTTTTTCCAATAGACGTAATTTCCTATTGATAAGGTTTAAGTCACGACAACACTTTTTTTTTTTACTGTGATTACATATGATTTTTTAAAAAAAAATTCTAGTAATCAAAAATCAAAAACTAATAAAATAATGAAAATATTTATATTTGAAATTTAATTTTACTTTTTAAATTAAAAAAAAAATTTTAAAGAAGCAATTAAATTTGAAATATAAAAGTGTGAAAAAAAAAAAAAAATTTAGTTTTCGACTTATTAAATTTTATTATTCATAAAATGTTGTCGTAAATTATATACTGTAGCATATTCAATGGTGTAAAACATCTGCAGATAATACGTAACTCAAGCATCTTTATAGGGAAAGTAACATAATCTAAGAAGGATATGGTACAGAGCATCAGGATGAAGAAATCTGAATGGGCATACAGTATATATTTTACAATCATGTATCTATTGGTTCAGACACTTGCTGACAAGGTTTTTATTTCATTATATTTTCAATATAAATTTTTTCAAGAAAAAAAATTTCATAAAATTGTCTGATTAACAATATTTATCATATTTATATATTATTATTTAAAGATAATAATTATTTTAATAATTATCTTTAAATTTCGATTTAAAAATCATTTTAGAAACTATTTTTATAGATTACGAATTGTAATCTTTTGGCAAAATAATAAAAATAATACAATTTTAATAATAAATTAATAATAAATTAATAATAAATTAATAATAAAAATAATAAATTTTATATTTAGGAGAAGCGGCAAATTTTTAGAGAACAAGTACTGCCTGCATTGGGAGGCAAAATTCCTGAAGAGGCATTCAAAACCGAAAGATTAGCTCTTAATCGTCTCAATAAAGAGGGCATCACAATTGAAGATCGTCATCCCCGTGTAAAACATCATCATCAAAAGCATTCCTCCTCAAAAGATATTCTCAAGGCGAGTACATTAATTAATTATTTATTTATTAAATTTTCATTATCAAAATACAAATTTAATTGAAATTAACAAAATTTATTAACAATTAAATTCCATTTTTATTAAAATTTAATTAAATTCAATTTTTATTAAAAAAAATTAATTAACTCGATTTTTTGTCAAAAGGTTTATGTCACACAGGACAATAATTATAAGCAAGTTGATACAACGTACATAATACGAAAACCAATTGAACACGGAAATAATCAACAAACGAACAGTCATTTGAATTATAAATTTAATGTTTTTAATAATAAGCCACAAATTTATTCGAGTCATCAGGAGCACAATTTGCAATTATTAATGAAATCTAAAATACATGAACCTATTATTATTCAACCATCAGTTCATCCTGCGACAAATAATAATTATTATCAGAAATCTTACTATCCATCTTTGACTTTTCTTTATGACTGGGATACATTTTATAAACTCTTGAATGACTATTACAGAAATGTTGCTATCATTAATTCACAGCAGGTAAATTTTTTTTTTTTTTACAAAATTAATTTTATTCATCATATTTGCAAATGTAAATTAAAAAAGTTTATTTTCTTTAACAATATTTATTTAGTCAGAAAAAATAAAAAATCATAAATAATTTATAATATTGTAAAATGTTACGTTACATCTCAAATGAAAGTGCAATCTAAGATGAATCCACGTGTTATTACATGTTTGTAGGAGAATCTTCACAAATCATATATATATATACTTTTATTATCCAACGTATATTGAAGATACATTTCAATTCACTTTCTCAGATGAAATCTTGATATTAATAAAATGTTTAAAAGTCACTTTACTTTATAAATTAGCTATAAAAGTTAATTAATTATTACACTATTAAATTTAAATATACGTTTATTTATTAATTAAATTTATTTTTTGTTAATATATTAATTAAATTATTAATTTAATTTCACTTTTACAGATCATCTAGGAATGTAACAAAAATGTTTTCAACAAAAAGTTCATCATGTTAATTAAGCATCTTTATACAGTGATTTAGATTGTAGAGGAATGAATGTTATAAAATAAGACTGTTATTTCAAAAGTGCTAGTTAAAAAAAAATGTGACTATTCGTTATGTCAGATAATGAAACAAATGATCATTAATTTGTCATTATTATATTGTTCTCGAATCAAGTTTAGAAAAATTTTTAATTACAAAATTAAATTATTCCGTCAATTCAATATTATAAAAAATCAGAATAATGAATGTCGAATTTACTGATAATATTTTGTGATAGATATATTTTAAGATAAATATTATATAGAAATAATTTTGTACTTTTTAATATAATTTTTGATATTAATGGATATTAATTTTATATTTACAAAAATTCAGAAAAAATTTATTTAAAATGACGATTCTCTTTTAATGAGAAAAAAAATAGAATAAATATTATTGTAAAATATTACACTGAAAAAAAAATTTATTTGATTCAAATACTCGATTATTTGACTATTATTAAATAAATATTTTCTGGAACCAAATAATTTCTCTATTTGAAATAAGTACCATTTAATTGATTCAAATAATAATTATTTGATACAAATAATTATTTATAGTCAAATAATCGAAATATTTGAATTAAATAATTTTTTTTCGAGTGATATTACTCATTTCCTTTTTTGCGGAGAAAATTTCTTTTTCGTGTACAATAACACAGAAAATTATAAGGTATTAAAATAAGCTGCAACGCTTATTATTTTAATACAATTTTGCTTATTTTAATACCAAAATGGATTAAAAAAATAAAAAAAAAATAAAAAGAAAAATAAATAATATTAAAATAATAAGCGTAGCAGCTTATTTTAATGCCTTTTAATTTTCAGTGAATGTAAATTTATTGTAATACTCTTAATTTTGTTTACTCTAATATTTGTAATAAAAATAAAAATACAAAAAAAAAGTAATAAAATTAGAAAAACAATAAAAATTGTTTATAATAGATTTTGTATAAAAATAATCGAAATATAATAATTGCTATAAAAAAATGTTAATAAATTTCGATTTGTGAAAAAAAAAATTTCGGTTTTATATTTAATTGTTGATATAAAATTATTATTACTGAAGGAGAATGTGTTTGGCAAGGAACCTGTCTCTCCTGCAATTCTGGTTGAGAGTACAACATGCAACTGATTACGGTTCTGCAATTACCCATAAAACAACAACATACACGGGACATGCCTTGAGGGGGTAGTAGAAGGGGGCTGCCGCCATGGACTTTCTCTGTGTGACATAATTTCACACCGTCCAGCTGGACCAGTTTAACTTAACATCAAACACAGTTCAGATATGGCGAGGTGTGCTATCCATGTTATTGTTCTTTCCACCCTTTTGGTGTTGGCCACTTTCGAGCAAGGAAACAGTGACCATCAGGGTAAATCCGTTCAAGTAAGTCACTATAGATATAAAAAAAATATATATATTGAAATCCAATATAAACGAAATTAAGTCTCTCGATCATAAATTCTAATTGAAAAAAAATATATGAAAATCGTTTGCTTTATTTTACATCATTAATGTTGAATATTTTTTTTATACCAAGTTAATTTACACTTGCTTCAAAATTTTATGCGTTATAATGAACGTTCGATATTTACCACCGATAGTAAATATTTAATGTTTATTAAGGTATATAATTTTCTAATATTGCATTCCGATTTGTTTAATTGCATTCTTTGATGGAAAACAATTTCTATTTTCAACAATTTTTATTTCATTGTCTTTTTTTTTTTTTTAATAATTATTTATTAGTCAGATTAGTCTCGTTTTATGTTAACGAAAATAGAAAAAATTGTAATAATTATAACTGATTAATTAATTTTTCTTTTATTGTAATTTATAAATAATTTTTTGTCATAAACAAAAATTAAGTAAAAATTAATTAATGCTAGAAAATCATTTTTCGAAAATTCGATAAATATTTGAATTAACAATTTTTATTTCATTGTCTTTTTTTTATAATTATTTATTAGTCAGATCAGTCTCTTTTATGTTAACGAAAATAGAAAAATTTTTAATAATTAATTAGTATTTTGTTATTAATTTTTCTTTTATTGTAATTGTAATTTTTATTTTATAAATAATTTTTTGTCATAAAAAAAAATTATTTAATATTAAGTAAAAATTAATTAATGCTAGAAAATAATTTTTCGAGAATTCGATAAATATTTGAATTAACAATTTTTATTTCAATTTTCTTTTTTTTGTATAATTATTCATTAGATCAGTCTCCATGTGTAAAAAAAATTGTTATTGAAATTATTTAATTAAAAAAAAAATCATTTTTTCGAAAATTATTGTAAATAATTGAATTAACATATATTTTTTTTGTGTTAAAAAAAAAAGAAGCGACAAGCGGAATATTATAATGACTATACGGATTATCAAGAGTTCCAACAACCAATAATAGAAGAGGAACGGCCAACAATTTTATTGAAAAAAAAACAGGAGAAACAAGATTTTAGTAAAATTCCTGGTGAACCATGGGTGGATTATCCAATTTTTCACGTGGTACCACAGACTAAATTTTCATGCTCACACGTACCCGCCTTGCCAGGAATGTATGCGAATGTCGAAACTGGCTGTCAGGTAAAGAATTTCTTATTGTATATAGTATATATATAAATAAATATATAAATAAAAATATTAAACTCCTTCGATTTACAATTTCATGCCTCGTTAACGGCGTTCTTTTCACTTTCACATCTAGAGCAAGGATTTCCTTATTTACTTATGTACTTACATATATGCGATTGGAAAAAAAAAAAAAAAATTCACATGCAAATATTTCGGAAATGGGCGTTTTAATAAAATTATTGAGAAATTATATTTAATACAAAAAAAAAAACAAACAGAAATTTACAAATTATAATTTAAGTATTACAGTAATTATGAATTACGTGTAATAATTAAAATAATTAATTATAATCAAATTAATTAATTATAATTAAATTAATTATTACAAGTAAATTAATTAATTATAATTAAAATAATTAATTATATAATTAAATTAATTAATTATAATTTAATTAATTAATTAATTAATTAATTATTTACATGTAAATTATAATTAATTATTGCAATGAATTATCGAAAAATGTATAAATTACTTAACGTGGAATTTGAATATTTCAGCAGTATCTAAATCAATGAACATATTATCAAATAAATTGAAAATTTTCCATAATAGTAACAGTTATTTATAATTAATAGCGTTATTGAACTCGTGCATTGAACTCCCAACGTGATATTCTATATAATGTGTTTTAAATTAAATTCGATTGATCATAATTAAAAATGATTATAACAATTTATAATCAAGATATTTTAAAAATGTGAGAGGTAAAATTAAAAAAAAAAAAAAAAAAAAAAATTCTAAATACAAAATGTATAACAGTGGGGGTGGATGAAAGAAAAAAAAACAAGAAAAAAGATAAATATCATGCATATGCATTTTATTCAAGTACTTCAGTCAACCTAGATAGTTTCACAATTTAGATGTTTTGAGTGATAAGAAGGAAACAGGAAAGGCGGTATCAGCACCTTTGAGAACGGATAAAATGCAGTGTATTATCGGTGTGAAATCGTATCAAGGTCTATAAGCGGATGAAAGTATCCGCTAACGCACCAGGGTCACGCAGGTTATGAAATTATTATTAGAAAAAAGAAATCATCGAAGGTGGGGAAATTACGGTAATCTTAACGACTGATTAATAAACGGGAATTGCTGTTTCACTTTTTTTTCTTTTTTTTTTTTTGATTTCTTTTTATAGTAAAAGAAATAAAGAAATCTGGTAAAATTTACTATATATGTAAATAATAATTATTACTTTGAAGGAAATAACATTGAGAAAGACGTGAACTTTTGTCAGAATATAATATATCATTGGGAAATTGTTGAGGTATATCTAAATTAATGTATTTACAATTTATATATATATATATATATACATATGCGCGCATAAATTTGTAATTTTCTTTTCATTCACGAGGATGTCAATTATGCCTATTGTTATTATTATTAAGAGGACTAATTACTTGAAAAAAAATTCTTTAATAAAAAAAAAAGAAAATTTCTCTATCTCTTCGGAGAAAAAGATGTATAAATATAAAAACTGCATTCAAGTTGCGTAGTTAACTTTGAACAATACACAATACTTGCAAATTTCACAAATGTCGTTTTTCATTCTCACTTTTGCTTGTTTTTTTTTTTTGTTTAGACGAGTGTCATTGACTTTCTCACATTATTAGTTTTTTTTGTTAATTTTTCTGAGAAAAAAAAATTTGAAGTTTTCTAAAAAAAAATGTTTATGGCATTGAATTTCTCATGGGACAAAAATAACTTTTACTCCACTTGTAATAAGTTAATTAAAAAAGAGAAATACATTTTTTTGAAAAAAAAATTTTCAATTTGTAGAAATTAAAAAAAAAAATATTACGAATAAATATTTTTTAAATTGTAAAATAAATTATTTATAATATTTATTACAATTTTTATTATGTCATTCATTATTTTTTAATATTTTAATTTTAATTTTAATTTTTAATTTTAATATTTATTTTTAATTTTAATTTTCAATTTTAATTTTAATTTTTAGTTTTAATTTTAATTTTAATTTTTAATTTTTAATTTTTAATTTGAATAATTTTTGTAAAAAAAAAATTTACAGGCCTACCATGTGTGTCACGATGGTCGAGAAGGTGATCAAGGAGCAACTTTTCTTTGCGCCAATGGGACAATATTTAATCAACAAGAATTTAATTGCGATTGGTGGTACAATGTAAATTGTGGCGAAGCACCAAGATTTTACGAGTACGTTAATGTCAACAATTTTTTATTTAATATAATTATATAAACAATTCTGATTATTTTTAAAAAACTTATTAAATAAAATAAAAATTAGCAAATAATAGAAGTAATAAAAGCAATAAAAATAGAAAAATAAAAATAATTATTTTAATTGACAAAAGGAAATTTTTTCATTAATTAAAATTATTTCAGCTACAATCTCGATCCAGAAAAAAATCCCTATGTACCACAAGCTCACAAGGAAGCAATTCGCCGTGAAAAACTCAAAATTGTTGTTGTATAGGACCAAAAGGATTCATTGACGTACGTTTTTTTTTAAAAAAGAACATGTGAATATAAAGTGCGTTTATATTTATCCAAAGATCGTGAGTGAAATTATTTTATAAAAAAAAAGTGAATATTTTTATATTTATTTTTCTACTGTATACAAAGTTATTATAATATATAATTTTAAAAAAATATATAAAAAATATATTCTTAAAAATTATATTATATTATAAAAAATATATAATTTTTATTCTGTAATAAATAAAATTGATATATAAAATTAAAAAATTCTTTTGTTATATATAGAAATATCCTATAATACAATTAGAATTGGAAAAATATGTGAAATGAAAATACATTTGAAATGATATGAAATTACACATATATATATAGAGAGAATATATACTTCAAGGTGCTCAACTATTAATAATTTTATTATACAACACAATCAAAATAAACTCACGTAACATTTATATGTACACGAATTGCTACGTTATTATAACATATTCTGATTTCACATTTTTTTTTTTCCGCCTATTGCATTTATATTTAATAACAAAAGTGCCGACTTCTTTTTAACAATACAATGTATTTATTTTATACACACGGGGGACTAATATCAATGCTAATGAGTTCTATATTCAAAGATATTACGAAAAATGGTAAAAATCTTTTTTTTCTCTCTCTCTCTCTTTCTCTCGAAGAACACGTACTTATAGAGGCAAATAACTATCCTTTAGAATATATATGAAACTATAGTAATTGTCTATAAACATGGTCAGCTATTCATATTTTATATCTCTAAAAGAACCTCATTATGTAATTCACTATGAATTACTTTTCATTAAAATAACGCTAATTTAAATACGAGGGCAAAACAGAATATATATATATATATAGAGAGAGAGAAAAACTTGCCAACAATAAAGAGCTTAACGTTATATACAGTCAAATTATATATAACGGGGTTATATGCATATTGTGTCGTGTATTATCGGTTAATGTCTATAATTACATTTGAAATAAAAATTCTCAAGTTTTCAAAGAAAAACTTATAAATTATTTCTTATGAATGTGTAATAAATATTATAAGTGTTTTTTGTTATATATATTTGTATTTAAATGATTGGAATAAATTTTGTTTTCTTTATCTATTTTTTCACGACAGTGGAAAATATCGTGAGAATATTATAGAATATTAATTACAACTTTTTTTTCATATTACAAAAAAAAAAAAATTATTCAAATAATCGTTTATTATATAAATATTATTATTTCAGTCAAATTATATGTATTTAAATAAAATATTTGTTTTCAATTAAAAAAAATTATCGGTCTAAATAGGTACAATATTTATTTAAGGGAAATAAAAATTATTTGGTTCAAATAAAAATATTTATTTTGATAATATAGTCAAGATTATTTGAATCAAATCATTTTTTTCAGTGATAAAAGCTTATATTATACACTGAAAAAAATTATTTAATTCAAATAATCGATTAATTGACTATTATCAAATAAATATTTATTTGCATCAAATAATAATTATTTGATACAAATAAATATTTATTTGCATCAAATAAATATTTATTTGTATCAAATAATTATTATTTGAAATGGTATTTGTTTCAAATACAGAAATTATTGGTTCAAATACAGTTTATTTAATTCAATTATATTATTATTATTATTATTATTATTATTATTATTATTTAATTCAAATAATCGATTACTTGACTATTATCAAATAAATATTTATTTGTATCAAATAATTATTATTTGAAATCACAGAAAATTAAAAGGCATTAAAATAAGCTGCAACGCTTCTTATTTTAATCCAATTTTGCTTATTTTAATACCAAAATGGATTAAAATAAGTAAAATTGGATTAAAATAAGAAGCGTTGCAGCTTATTTTAATCCCTTTTAATTTTCTGTGATGGTATTTGTTTCAAATACAGAAATTATTGGTTCAAATACAGTTTATTTAATTGAATTATATTTGGTTTCAAAAAAATTATTTGGTTTCAAGTAAATATTTATTTGATTAGTCAAGTAATCGAGTATTTGAATCAAATAAATTTTTCTTCACTGTACATTTTAATGTGAAAAATAAAAAAAAAAATGTTAAAAATACAATTTATAATTTTTTCATAATTTATTTATAATTATAAATAATTTTTTTTGCTTAAAAATAATTTTTTAAAATTAAAAATAATTTTTTTAATTAAAAATAATTTTTTTTAATTAAAGTAAAATATCGTCTTCTACACACCCTTAAAATTGCAAAAAGAGCATGCATAACGGTATTATAAATAGAAAAATCGAGAATAATAAACTGTTACGGGTCAATATCAAGAAAAAAAAAATGTGATAAGACTTTTTTTTTTTTTTTGAACATATTGTATATAGTTCGAAATTGAAATAAACTATTAAACTGCCGGAAGTTAGGGAAATTTTGTAATAGGTGTTTGGAGGTGACTTACGAGACAGGAGTGATAATGCATAGAGCAGCAATCGTTAAGCAATTTTGTGTCTATATATATATATATATATATACATACAAAACAAAATATGATCTCGTAGGTCGCGTACACGTGATTTCACACGAATTTAACCTCTTGGCTGATAGATCTATCAGATGAAGTGGAAGCCCAATTTTATATGCCTTGGCGCGATATGCGAAAGTCCCAAGAAAAAAAAAGAAAAAAAAAAAAAACGATTTACACTATTACGAAAACACACTGTAAGGATACAATAAAGAGAGAATATAATGCAACGGAATTACCAGTTTTCGTATTAGCAAACAATATTATGTGAAAAAACAAACGAAGATGAATCGAACATGTTACAAGGGGTTAAATGTTCTTTTACAAAAAAAAAAAAATATATACAATTGTTCTTTATAGAGCCTTGTGATAATATTGCATTAACAATGATGAAATTGAGTTTCCTTTTTGATTGTTAAAATTATTTTTCTATCAATTTTTTTTTCAAGATTTGGAATTTTTTGAAAGAAAATCGCAATTCTTTATGAATTTAAATTATTTGTAATTTAAAAAAATTTATATTAACAATTTTTGAAAATTATATTTATTTTAAGTTTCCGATTGTTTTGTGGAAAATTGATTTTTTAAATATTTTCTTTATTCAAAAATTATATGCGTAAAGTGTGACTTTAACATTTTTATTGCATATTTAATGGATAATTTTCTTTTTAATGTTTATTGTTTTGCATATTTAAACTATATAATACTTTATTTAGCAGTAAAACAGTTATAGGAAAGTAAAAAAAAAAAAGAATAAAAAGTCACGTAAATTTAAAAACAAAAAAACAATTATGCGACTTTTTTCTTTTGCTCTCATTTCTCAGTCTTCTCGTAGAGTAATTTTAAATATAAATAAGAATTTTTAATTGTCTTTTATTTTTTTAAAAATAAAAATATAAAAAAGAGAAGAAAAAAATGTAAATTATTTACAAAATATTGTGAAAATGAAGATTGAAATGGTAATTTTGTTCTCGATTTGCATGTGGCATCTGTCGTTTCTAATATTCGTCAATTCATATAGAATCTGATCACACGCCCTGATATCACACGCCTTGATAACGCCATATACGCGTGCTTACTTAAGTGCATGTACAAGTAAGTGCAATGTACTTGTTAATAAATCTGCCGTGGGAAAGGTAATCGGTCCAAAGAAATGTTTCAAATCTATTATATATATATATATATATATATATCAAGAAAATCGAACTTTTGTCTAGATTGCTTAGAATTTTTAATTTTCATATTCTCAAGTTAAAATTTACTTATATACATATTGGATCACGTGAATTGACTATTTGTTCTATAACACAAAAATTGAAAATTGTTTCAAAAAAAAAATTAAGATTTTTTATTTATTTCTTCTATAAATAACTTTTAGATTTTTATAAAAAAAAAAAATTTTATTTTATTTCTTAAAAATTTTTTTTTTAATTTTTTAAGTCAAAATAACATTTTTTTTTCAAATTTTCAAAATCAATTATAATAAATTTTATATTTATTAAAAATCTATTTTTTCTTCTAGGTAAAATATTCAAGGAGTTAAAATTAATTTCAAAGCTCTCTAAATCTGAATTAGTAAAAATGTTTACTAATTTGAATTAGTCACTCACTTTTTGCTTTTGAATTAGTTAAATTTTACTAATTGTTAGTAAAAGTTAAAATTAGTTAATTAGTAAAATTTTACTAATTGTTAGTAAAAGTTACTAATAATTAGTAAAATTTTACTAATTCAGAAGCAAAAAGTGAGTCACTAATTCAAATTAGTAAATATTTTTACTAATTCAGATTTAGAGAAAGGGTTAAAATTTTCTGAATTAAATATAAAATTTGAACTTCTTTTAAATTACAAAAATTTTTATTATACAAAAAAACAAAGGTAATAGACAATTGACGTCATTTTGTATATATAAGATTTTTTGCTTGTTTTTTTTTAAATTTTCAAAATCAAAATAAATTTTATATTTATTAAAAATCTATTTTTTCTTCTAGGTAAAAAAATATTCAAAAAGTTAAAATTAATTTCAAAAGGTTAAAATTTTCGGAATTAAATATAAAATTTGAACTCTTTTTAAATTAGAAAGATTTTTATTATACAAAAAAAAACAAAGGTAATAGACAATTGACGTCATTTTGTATATATATATAAGATTGTCCTATTTGCTCCCTAAAGGTATATAATACATTTTATAAGAGATTTTATATATCGAAGAAAAGTGGCAAACTACCCCACCTGAGAAAATATCAGGCGCAGCCATTCCCCTATAAAGCCATGAGGTGTTCATTTCCAGCGAACATTCTCTCAACGTTCTCGTCACTCACTTTTCCACGCCATGTGGGTTCTTATCTTTGCAGGTGAGTGTGTAAAACTCGCTTGGATTATGAAATTGACAAAAAAAATTAATTATGCCACAAATCAATTTTTTTTTGTCATATATATTTTTTTTTTTTTTTTTTTTTGCAAAAATTTCTCGTGACAATATTTCTTGTCATTGTTGTTAAAAGTGTTAACACGTGCTTTATATTTATATAGTGAGGTGATTAATTAAAAATCAAAAACAAGGATTGGACAAAAGTTGGGAAATAATCGAGAGGGGTTAAAAATATAAATAAGTGCTTATAGAAAAAAAAAAAAAAAAAAAGAAATGGAAAAATAAATATATTTCCATTTGAAGGGTCAAGAGGGAAAGTGAAGTGAATTGACGCAGTGACAAGTGAAAATCAAAGTACCATTAAATTATATTGATACTGATTGAAGCTGGAAAGTTATGCTAATTAACGATTCGAACTAATTTTTTCCTGCGTTTTTAAAAAAATTTACCACACATACAAAAATTAGAAATCTGTTATTAACATCAAAGTATTAAAAAAAGGCCAAAGTTGAGCTAAAAAAGTGAACAAAAAAATTTTTTTTAAAAAAGAATAATTAAAAATTAATTAATTACACAAATCCAAATTTGTAAAGTTTAATTATTATTTTTATTTATATATTAATCACTATTATTTATTCCATCCAGTTTTAACTATTTATATTTATTAAATATTTTCAAAAAGTAAATATAAATAAATAATCAAAAATTAAAATAAATTTTAATTATTTTAATTAAATGATAATAAAACAAATATGAATTTTACAAAAAAATAATAGTAATAAAAATGAATAAAATAATAATAATAATAATAATAATTATAATAATAATCATAATAATAATAATAATGATAATAATAATAATACGAAATTAAAAAATACTCAAAGTTCAACTTGTTTTGAAAATACTTTTTATGATAATCACGTGGTGTATTGCAACGGAGTGAATTAATTTTTTTTTCAATTTGTTAATATAAAATACATTATTTGCGTTACATTGAAATAAATTGTTTTTTTTTAAATATTATTATTTAAGAGAATAACAAATTTGGAAGCCAGTTAATTGTACAATAATTCAGATTATGTAATGACAAATTAATCGTTAACAGTTTCCCTTTGCAAACAGTTTGACTTATTTTAATGAAGTTCGATTTTAAATTAGATACAGGAAAAACTACTTTCCATGAGCAAGGAGACGACAGATAAGTGTTGTGCGAGTTGCATTTATATTAGAAACTTGTTCACTTTTAAATAAGCTTAACTCTCGCTTTCGTATATATATATTTCTTATATATATATATATATATATATGTGAACTAAATGTCGGATACTTTCGTGATAAACAACCTAAACATTTTAGAAAATTTTCTTCAGAAATTCTCCATTTTTTTTTCGCCTTTGACAATTGGCAAAAAAAAAAATATGTAAAATTCATACAAACACTGTAAAAAGAAGCGTTATTATTATTTTTTTTAATACTGTTCAGTGTCTTAAATATTAATAACACAAAAAATTAAAAGGCATTAAAATAAGCTGCTATTATTTTAATCCAATTTTGCTTATTTTAATCCATTTTGGTATTAAAATAAGCAAAATTGGATTAAAATAATAAGCTTATTTTAATGCCTTTTAACACACAAAAAACAAATACTGAAACCGTTAACAGCTTAAAATCAAAATGCCTTAAAACTAGTGTAATTTTAATCTTAAAACTAGATTAATTCAATTTTAGGACTTAAAATCATACAATCAAGGCTGAAATTCAGTAAAAATGGTTCTAATGTTAACGGTTTTAGTCAAAAGTGTACTGGAAAGTAAGTATTATTTTTTAGTGTGAATTTTTTGTGAATTGATTACGATAGATAAAACTTATACATAATAATAAATACATTTAATATATAAATAAATATATAAAAAAAATATATAAAAAAATATATAAAAAAAATATATTAAAAAATATATAAAAAAAAAATTAATACATAAAACATTAATAAATAAAAATTAACTAATTAATGATATAAAAATTGTCGAAAATTTAATTTTATCTAAAACTAGTGATTTTTTAAAGACATTTTTTGTATTTAAAACATACTAAAACATTGGAAAATATTAAGACATCTCTTTTTACAGTGGCTGTACTTCTTTCTTTTTTTTCTAATCATAGAAAATAAATAGGATTTGTCACAATTTATTTTGTTACATCAGGATAAATTTTTCTTTTCTTTACTTCACTGTTATTTTCATCTATACACACACATTACACACGTGACCGGTTACCTTTTATTCATTATATTCCGTCTATATACCAAAGTATATACTTTCTCTTCCAAAGAGCGTATATGATGTTGACGGTGAAATTTGCCAAAGAAAAAGAAAAAAGACAAATTTTTTTTTTTTTTAGCAAAATTCATATATATATATATATATATATATATATCTATATTGTATAATTACTGTTTTTAAATTATATATAGAAATTCCCCTTTTGAAATATTTGCATATAGAAATAAATTAAAACTGAAAAACATTAAAAAGCCGGAAGTTCCGGATAGGAATGCCATTTCACGGTGATCAGTCTTTTGAGAGTCGAGCAGATCACCTGGTCTCGATAAATATATAGATATATGCGTATTAGTCTATTATGAAATATAGAAACGCTTATATATATATATAGGTGTATTCTTGATAATCGAGCGAGCTATATAACTTCCTGACTGCATCGAATTATACTCGGACCTAATTTGCATTATCCATTGTAAAATGCTATAAAAAAAAGTATAGGAACCATATTTACGACAAATGAAAAAAAATTGCTCTATTATTTTTTTTTATTTTCGTTTACAATTAATTATTTTTACTATTTTTATACTCTCTAAATCTGAATTAGTAAAAATTACTAATTTAAATTAGTGACTTACTTTTTGCTTTAGAATTAGTTAAAAGTTACTAATAATTAGTAAAATTTTACTAATTGAGAAGCAAAAAGTGAGTTACTAATTGGAATTAGAGAACATTTTTACTAATTCAGATTTAGAGAGTATTTTTTATTTAAAAATTATTATTTAAATAATTTTTTTTAATAAAAAAATTGTTCTATTAAAAATATTAAATTGTAGTCATTAAAAATTATGAATACAAAAATTTTAGGAAAACAATTGGGATGTTTTGTTGCATAGAATGAAATCTCTAAAGAGCTAAGAAAAATGCTAATTAATTAAGTGCAAATTTTTCTTTTGATAATTATATATTCTGAAGCATTGCTTCCTGGTCTCCATTGAATTAGATACTCGTTCATCCTTTCACTATTATGATAACATGTCACAATAAAATTAAATTTATGTGCATTTTATATTTATAAATATTTATTTTGAACGATAAAAATTATCGAAATTATTTCAAAAAAAATAATCGTTAGCGAATACATTTATTTTTAATAATGACAAATTAAATAATTTTTTTTGTCTCCGGGAAACTAGAATTGTTTCTCTAATCGGAAACAATTGTCTTTTCATATAGAAAGTTTGTATATGGCAAAATTTACATCACTGAATCTTCTATTGATGAAAGATAATTTTAAATAGAAATTAAATAACGTCAAATTGTATCTTATCAAAATCTGAAAATTACAATGTTTAGACATCATTGCAAAACTTGAATATTTTCGCAAGAAAATTATTATCTCCATTTTATATATTGACAAATATATTGTAAACGCACTTTATATATATGTAAAGACAATGATATTTTTCAAGATTTTTGTTTTCGATTAAAATAAATTAAAAATAAAAAAAAGAAAATTAAAAAAAAAAATTTGGAAATTGAACACTGGACATCGTTGACGGTTGTTTGATAAAAAATATATATATATATATATCAAGACTTCCGTTCTCTGGAAGCGTTTTCTGAAAAAAAGGAAACCGAATCGAGAACAAGGGCGGTCGCGCAAAATCCCATACGTTCGAATGGTCGATTGGGAAATAAAATACTTCCAAGTCACCTTTCACTAGTTCTAACACTGCTGGGGTAATGGCGATGAAGTTGGCAAAAGGGCCAGGCCCAGGCTAGCTCTTAGGAGAGCTCAAACTGAAAGTGAAAACTAGCACATAGCCACGTAGGCCGTGTGCACCAATGCTCGACCGACTCGTGTATCCTGCATGGATATATCATTAGATTATATCTCTGACAAGGACTCTAAAGTAATTTATCCACCTCTTCAGACCAAAATTTGAATTGGTGTGTTCTCAACTCAAATATATATATAAATTTAACAATTGCGAATCACCTTGTGAAATTCCCATTTGTTAAATTCACAATTTTAATTAACGTTATATATCTTTATTAGGAAAATTAGCCAAATTACCGAGAATCGACTAGCGCAAATATAAAAGAATCAAAGATTTTTTCAAAAAAAAAAAAAAAAAAAAAAAAATTATTTTTACAATAAATATTAATTTTTAATATTTTTTATAATTTTTACAATAATTATTTGTAATTTTTTTTCTAATTGTAATTAATTTTCCATATATTACTATTTTTTTATTTTTTTATTTTTTTATTAAGTATTTATTAGTATTTGTGTCAAACAAAATTTTTTTTTTTTAATTAAAACGAAAAAAAAAATTATTACAGTCTGTGAGACAAATATATTTTTTTATCAGTATTTTTGGATTAATATCATTTTTTTACACTGTGAAAAAAAGGAGTTGAATTTCAACTCCCTAGGGGATGCTATAAAAGTCCCACCCCTTTGGAGTTAAAGCGTAAGAGTTAATGCTTTGCGAGTTAATTTTAGGCCTAGGGAGTTAGTTTTAAGGAGTTAATTTAATTATTAACTCCCTTGTTGAGTTGATTTTTAACTCGAAAAATTTACACTCAGAGAAATGGTATATTTGTCTCCGAGCCTACTAACTCATTTATTTGTTGCAAATATATTTTATTTCATTTAAATAAAAAATTTATTTGAGCCAAAGAAAAATTTATTTATGAC